CATATACCATTATTTTAGTCTTAGGGTTAAAATGGGTATTGAAGACTTTTCTCTCAGGACCTAGCTGAGTTACTTCTGGTTATTAGTAAACTTATCATCATCCAGAAAACAAAGCCAGCTCTCATTAAAACAAACATGAATTTATGAAAATTGAGAACCACTTTATGCAAGACTTGGACATCAGAACGATGTCACAGTCATGGACCCTCTTAAAATTTATCAGGCCAAACTGAACTGCCCTCTCCCCCGTTTACAACTTTCTAATTGCTTGAAATGAAAGGTAGCCAAAACAGTACAGAATCTGGTAATATCTTCTGTACTGGGAGAATAGGGGCTGTTATGTGATACATTTAAAAGCAATCAATTCAATATTACTATTTGAAATCACTAGCTTGTTTTTTTCTTTAAATTTATCTCCTTACCTTTTTCTCCAGTCCTTTGTACTTACTGAATGAATCAGAAAAATTTAGGCAAGTGGGGAAATTGTGAATGTCCTTCTACTGTTGGCTCAAAAACTTGGATACATCTTCATCTTCTGGCCCTTTGCAGTTAAAGAGCACAGTATGTTAACCAGAGTAGGAGAGGCTTATCGAATGAGAAAGATGTTTGCATTCTACGTATAAATTAAAATGGAGCCGGAACTTGATTCATCGTTAGGACAATCTTGGACTCACCACATTCTTCCAGCAGGATGAATGTGCACTGTTGCGTGTGTGTCTGCACAGAGAGGAGAAAATAAAGGTAAGATGTTGGGAAAAGCATTGGTATCCAAGGAGAGAACAGTAAACCTACGGACATATAAACAAATCTCTAGTAGGATCCAAGAGGGCAATGTTACAGGAAGTGGGGTAACTTCTGAATGCAATCAATAAATCTATTGAAAAAAAAACTCCATAGCAAATCAGAAGACAGTAAGTAAACAAATAAAAATATTTTTCCAGCCAGGCATGGTAGCACACACCTGTAATCCCAGCTATTTTGGGAGCTGTGGCAGAAGTATCACTTGAGCCCAGGAGTTGAGGCCAGCCTCAGCAACACAGCAAGACCCTGTCTCTAGAAAAAAATTATGTATATATTTCATCCTCTGGTAAACAGAATTGAAGGCGACTGTGTTACAATGAAACTAATCACATAGATGTATTTATCCCAAACAAATAAACATAAAAGAATGATGTGCCAGTATGATTTATGACTAAGGGATTAAAAAACATCTGCCTCTTTCACAGTGCTCTTGCATGTTAGCCAAAGCTTTGCTGTCATGGGGAGCTGGTATATTTCTCTTTTTTCCTCTGAACACCAGGGTGGATTCTCTTTCAGACTTTTTCTCTGGTTTCCTTCATTCTAACTCTGTCTCTTTTTTATCTCATTTTCCTTTACCTATAAAAAGTGGAAGCTTCAATAAAGTCTTTGGAAGGAAATGGTGGTGGGAGAGGAAAAGGAAGAATGAAAATGAAGACTTCATCCAGCAGCTTGGGTTGTGCTGTGGAGGGGTAGGTCCATGGGTGTGAGTTCTGAACAACTCTAGGGCATCAGGAAAGGCAAATGACAGAGCCCAGCAGTGGAGCATAGGTGCTATCAGCACTGGCTTTAGAACCAGGCCAGGTGAGCTTTGATTCCAAAGTCACCCTGTTACTCTGTGATCATGAGCAAGGTGTTTAACTGCTCAGAGGCTTTCTTATCTGAAAATTGAAGCTAGTCCCTCCTCCCAGAGCTGCTGGAATGATGACATGAGAACATGAGCATCACACTCATTATTGAGGACCTGGCACAGGGACACGCAATGCCTGGGAGTCTTTAATGGTGATATTCTCTTGGCTGAGGACTTTCAGTACCCTGGATGATTTGGCTTTCCGGCCCCTTCCTGTCCCAGAGGGCAGCTAATTTGAGCCTCTGTGAGAAGCTAATGAAGGGCATCACATTAGTGTGAGCCTCCTCCCACTACCACTTTGCACCCAGGCCAGAGTCAGTGAGAAAGACGTGGGTGACTCTCTCCTTCTCTGGATCTTCATTCCAAA